GGGGGGGGGGGAGGGGGACCCCGTCACATCCTCTGTCCATATATGGGCATGAAGTTTACACGCAGCGGGGAATCCTCTCACTGGAGCTGATGAATGGGGAGGAGGGCCGAGGGAGCTGCCAAAGTGTATATAAGGAGAGAGAGGGGAAGTCGCTGATGTGAAATCCACAGCAAGCAAATACCTACCGAGGAGCAGAGACGAAAAGGAATACCTTTAATTGCTTTTTACACCTTTTGACACACCACTTTGGATCATTTGTTGAAAGCCATCAAAAGGGGGGTTGAAAGAAAACAGTCATCTGCATAATTGTTTTTTTTACATTTTCCCTTTTACCTTTTTCCCTGGGAGAGGCGGACTTCTAAGTGCATCATTATGTTGAACAATATGGATTTGAACGCGAAAGATTCTTTTTACCCTCAGTTTGAGAACTGCAACAGTTCTTCCCTGGGAATGGACAACAGCGTGCGGAAAGATAACCAGGAGGTGTATGTCGATGCAGAGCGGGGGCTACCTGCCCAATTTGGCCACGGTGAGTTCGCATCTTTGCACAACAGTCGATGAAATGTGCATGCATTAGAATGATAAATGTGTTAAATATGAGCACTGCAGAAAAACGATAACTCTTTTCGTGCAGTCGTGTACATGAAGGCGTATTATCGAGGCATCCCTGTGCCAAAATACGCATGAGTGTTTATGTAACGCTGATTTTCCTCCTCGTTTCAATTGCAATGATTCTCGCATATAAAAACACTCGCGATGACAAAGTTTTCTCTCTTTCTAATTCAACAGAAGGAACCCCTGCAACCCTTAAAACCGAAGCTTCCAACTCGGAATTTGCTTTTAACCCATGCGAGTGCCCAAAAGACACCTACACCCCCTCCTCGCTCGCCTACTCTGGCAGTTTCTATGTTGAGGCATCTCAGGGAGCGCCGTGCAGCACCGAAACACTCCTAAATATGATCACTGAGATCGTGGGTATATCTACACTGCCACTTTCAGAAGTGCAACAGAGCGGCAACAGTCGGGGAACTTATCCATCGCCTGCGCCGATGGACAGCAGCAATGGCAATTTTGGAGACCCCGGCATCAAGAGGCAATCCTACACCTGCTCCGGACCTTCTCCCCCTGTATACTCTCCAGACCAAACGTGCCCGAGGTATGCTGATGATCAGGCCGGCAGCCAGACCCAAGACCCGTCCACTTCCCAGCTGAGCTTCGGCTCCTCCCGAGCTCCGAACCAGAAGAAGGATGAACCAAAGTCAGAGGCCGCTTCTTTCCCTGTCGTAGTCAAGAATGAGTTTGAAAGCAGCTGCTACGAGTGGGGGACATTTAACAAGTCGGAGTGTTTGGAGACGAATTTCCAGACAGAAACCTTCCCGATGTCAAGCGACTTCCCCCCTGACCAGCAAATGGATGTTAAGGAACTTTTAGACACGTTTCCCCCAATTTGCCCCAACCCAGAGATGGAGTTTAAAGTAGAGGGAGGTATCAAACAGGAACCGTGTTTCTCTGACACTTGTTCTCAGAGCTACTCCAGCCCCCTGTACAATAATTACCTCCCACCACCTCCAATGGGCCTCTCCTCTAACCTGAAACCCTTCCCCGAACCCCCACAGCCATCTAATCAGTGCGATTCCTTATACACATCACCAGCTTTACCGAGCACCATAGACTCCATCCTGTACTCTTCCTTGTTGCCAGATTCTTTTGCCCAAAGTTACACCACCCGTGCGACGAAGCCCCCCAGGGCCAGAAAGAGCCCCGCCGCCTCTCACGGCCCAGCCAAAGAGAAACCCTTCGCCTGCCCCATGGAGAGCTGCGACCGGCGCTTCTCTCGCTCGGATGAGCTCAACCGGCACATCCGTATCCACACGGGCCACAAACCTTTCCAGTGCCGCATCTGTTTGCGCAGTTTCAGCCGTAGCGATCACCTTACCACCCACACCAGGACTCACACCGGAGAGAAGCCCTTTTCCTGCGACGTCTGCGGCAAACGGTTCGCCCGCAGCGACGAGAGGAAACGACACGGACGCGTACACCTGAAACAGAAGGAGAAAATGGAAATAAAGCCACAGGTGACCACCGGAGCATGGCCATTCACTCTTCCCGAGGGAATTTGAAGACAAGGCTATGTGTCCACACATACAATATTAGGATCTTTCCGTCTTGGAAGATAAGCCAGCTGACTACAAGTTGATGTCTGAGTTGGTTTGCCTGGCAAGCCAATGCCTGACAGCAGAGGTTTTGCGAATATATTGCAGTTTTTTTTAGGAGCAGAAAGGGAGAAAGAGGTCTGCTTCGGCCTTATTGCCTGCTGCTGATGCTGCTGACTTTATGCAAATATGCATAAGTTGTAAAAGTCGGTAAACAGATCAACAGTGACTTGTTGCTGTTACTGTCAGTAGAGCCAAAACCTCTCTGCTGCGGCATTGCATGACTGCTGTTCAGCACCTCTTCATCTGGACAGCTCCAACCTCCATCGCCTCTGAGCCTGGACGGATTGCACTTACAGATTATTAATATCTCCATTTAAGATTCTTATTTTCTGCTTTTAGCATTCTTAGAGCAATGGTTTGGACTATGTTTCTTAAAATGCATGTTTATGTCAATGTTCTTTTTCCTTTAACTGGAATATCAACCTCTGTCAAGGTACTCCTTCACTGCACAGTGAGGGTTATTGACATGAATGTAGGCTAACATATTTATGGCTTTGACCATAAAGCTGTCCATCTTTGATCAAATTTAGTGTTTGTTTAACTTCTTATCATTTGGCTGTCAGTGTTTTTTTGTCATTGGTCTTTGTGTTGTGTTACAATTGTTTGGATTATTACAATTGTGAAAGATATATCATAAATGGAAAATAAATATATTTGTATTACTGTACTTCTTTGTATTTTTATAGCTAACTGTATATTTTACATTTATCACATTTGAGCATCATTTATCAAGGTGAAATGTATTCTAAATCATTAATAATGTCTTGGTTTTCGAGGGCTATTGTTTAGTAACACAATATTTTAAATGTTACAATTTGATATCAGAAACATTTTCACACTTCATCCCATTGTTGGTATGATAAGAGTTATTTCATTGAACTGCTGATCTAGATTTAACAGGGACCAGTATGTTAACTAGTTGTGGTACGGCTTTTCAACAAAAATGATTTTACAGTATGTACAGAAGTATGTTTAATCAAGCTAGAAAATGACTAGCAAATCATATAAACATTGCTTTTGAGTAATCAGGTAGCACACATTGCTGCGAGTTTCTGTGGACTTTACCTTGGTGATGAAAGGGTTTTGACTCCTGGTACCTTTTGCTGGAGATACTGTATGCTGAAATGTTTACTTTAGCAAAAAACAAAACAATGTTGAGAGTTTGGTGAGATTGTCACCAACAGGGTACTGCAAAAAAGTAATTTAACTCGCCTTAAGTTATATTAACTGTTCAAGTAAAGATTTTGTACATATACAGTTTCTACAATACTTTAAATTAATATTGATGTTGTTATTTTTATGAAAAGTTTATGAACAAAATAAACATTTTCTGGAAGCAGCAAGTTTCTTGTGCATGGTTTAGAATGAACAACCACTACTTTCTCATTCTCACTTTGCCCATCTGTTTCATACAGCATTGGAACCCCCCATCCAAGCCTTCAGATGAGTGTATCTCTTCCCAAAATATACATTATGACAGTCCACCCGTGGCACCACACTGTAGCCCTAACATAAGACATCACAGTTCTGCCCTGTGACTCAAACACATTAAAGTGAATACCCTATTACTCAGCGCTGTGATTCTGAATCCCCTTGACTTCAAAGATCACTTTTCTCATGTTGTAAATGTGGAGATGAACACCATGGGCACCATGGTAATCGCTACAGGAAACCTGTTAAACAGGACATTTTCTTGCCATGTCAGTGACATGATCTGATGCTCCCAGTTCATTCATTCCTTTGTTCATTCACTCATCCATTTTTGCAATAAAAGGATATTAATTTCCGCTCAATTGCTGAACGCGATTATGGTCTATTATCACATATTTTTTTTCTCTCAAAGAATGGTGATACTGAAGTCTCCTCTTGTCAAAACTGCCTGTGCATTCTTGTAAACGCGGTTAATGGTCTCTGTGCCTTGAAGCCTCTCCACTAGAATAAAAAAAGGAAAAGAAAAAAAACAGTGGTGCCAGCCATTGCTTCTTTTTTTGATAGGGAGGGCATACACAATGTGTATGTCACTTCAAAGAACAGACCCAAATTGCAGTGCATTCTCATTTGAAGTGAACACTTGAAGCATAGTACAAATAATGGCTAAGGTAAGCGAATGTGTCTCATTTATAGTGCAAAGTGTACATGCAAGAGATTATGGGGAGATGACTGTTGTTTCTAAACTTAAACTGGAATTTCAAGATGCTTTGTGCATCTTTCTAGGATGCCAAGATGTTACAATCTGTCACTGCAAGCCATGCAGCCGTGTACCAGGGACTCCGCGGTGGTACGTAGGACATGCATGTGCCCATGACGCAGTCGGCTGGCAGAACACTACTTTGCTTGCCCACGGCAGTGCGTAAGTGCCTGCGTTGTCTGTAGCTGACAAACATACTGTACCAGTGTGAAAATGCAAGCTGCCACATGGAGCACTGTGAATAGTATGTACCCATCCTCTCCTGTCCATCACTCATCATCACTTACAATAGCACAGAGCCCAACCAGCATCAAAACGCACTCCCCTATCCATGTTGATTCAGTGGCAAACATTGTCCAGTGATGGATAGTTGAGGTTTTGAATTGCAGTGATGTGCAGTCACAGTGACCATTATCCAGTCACTTGAAGACTGAAGAGTTATTGAACTCTGGCCAGTGATGGAATTTCTGCATTTGTGCATTTGGAAGCTCAAATTCACATTTGCATACTGTAAATGGTCCTTGATATATCTACAGCATGTGCGTACGGCTTCAGCTGTGTTGTCTTTATCGAATACGTTTACAATGTCATAAACCTTCCTAACTCATGCTTTCATACAGACAAAAGACATAAATCAGTTCTTTTCCACTGACTGACATTTATGATTTTTACTCCTGTCGATGTGCGTAATTGCTGAAGCCATTAAGTAATTGTGCAGGGAGGGCACATGACCGCCACTGAGAACCATGCTTTCTCAGAACGCAGACCTCTGCTGTGAATGGTAGCACATCAAGTCCATTAAATCCTTGCCAGGATATTACTAATGCAAATATGTTAACATTAGGACTGTTGCATTGGGGGAGTTTATCCAAGGTAATGTCTCTGTGTGACTAACATATTCCATATGTAACCAGAGAGAAAACCATGAACAGATGTGATTTCACTTCTTCATTGTCTCATCCAATTAATCGCTTGATGTAGGATTGCTTCTGGATAAGTCAATGGGACTATTTATCTGCTGTACCAAATGAGTACTTTGGCTCAGGATTAAATAAAAAAAATCCTTAAAATGACAGTGAAGGATTAGATGGGCCCAAATTCTGAGGATAAGTGTCAATGCAGAATGATATGTACTTACATGTTTATTACTTGTAAGCATAAGCTTTCTCTTTGCCCTGATTGGCACACAATAGTTAGTTTTTCCTGCAAAATCTATTTTTTAATTTCTTCATACACAAGCAAATATTGATCCAATGAATCTATATTATATAGCCTGAATACTGGAGGATGCCACCCTCATCAGTGTCAAGCCTATCCACATCTGTGCTGCCATTAAATGCCTGAAGTCTATCTCAAGAGGGACAAGTACAGCCCCAGTCGTCTCTGAAGAGCCCAACATCCCCTTTATCCATGCTTGAACTCCAAACAATTCTACCTCTACAACAATAATCCAATAATGACTTTCAGAATGTATGAAAATGAATTTATTTGCTTATATGAAGGATCTGAGGCAGTTTCGGTGGTTCAAGCTTCAGGTATCAGGTCACCTCAAGTACCTATTAATAATCACAGTCCTACTTGAGACGGTCTATATGGCCACACAGTCTCATTCGCTCGTGGATTGATCTATTGTGGGGTAATCACCACATAATTTTATGCGCACCTTTAAAATGTGCACCAGGGCACGTCATGGTCCTTGGGGTGGGCTCAGTAATCAAGGTGCATAATCGCATGGCAGTAATGGCAATCAGGCTTAGCAGATTAATTCCTCGGATCATACATCAACCCGTCGGTCCTGTATCTGATCATGAAGAAGGGTGTAGGTGGTCTGGAGAGTGCAGGTGATTAAAAAGAAGAGAACCATTGCGGCGAGAAGGAGCTCGTTATGCAAACATTTTAAAGTACCTAATTCTTTCCATTGTTCTGGCTCCCAAATTCTTCATTTGTATTACTAACCAGCCAAAGCACAAGACTGAGAGGAGAACTTTTTCCTTGCTCCTTCATAAACTATAAGTCAATTCCAGGGTCAAGGAGTCCAGTCTATCACGTTTTTTCCAGGACACAACATCTCTATGGTAACTATTTCAAAGGACTTACAGTATATGCTGCACCTCAAGAGATTGGAAGACGGTGAACATATCATTGCTAGCTGAATGACTTCATAGCAATTCAGTTACTCGGGAAAAATGCACATCTGCCCTTGGAACCTTCCAGGTTGAAGCTTTTATAATACTGCAGCAGCTCAGTGGTGCAGCTGCATGTATACTGTGGCAACCTCCAGGAATCTGAACACCCAATGGAAATAAACATTTCAGTCCATACAAACAGCTTTGTAACCATAGATTCATGTTCTTTGTAACCTGTTGGTCTGAAAACCCTGCGTGTTGGATGCTTGTTCCTTTAGGGTAGTATAAGAATAGTCTGCTCTTCGGTAACATAACATAAATTATAATATTTTAAAGCTCCCATAATCAATATTTTTATAAGAACACTAAATCAAATGACTAATGGGAAAGGGGGCTTGTAGTGCTGAACCCACAGATAATTATTACCTGATTCTGTAGTTCCTCTCAGCTCTGTGGAGCATTGTAGCATCTTTCAGCTCAATGTTTTGGTTTTACAACCTGCAACTTTAATGTTTTGGTTCACTCTTAGTGACACAGTTAGCCACTAGATAGTGATAATAAAGCATAAAGCATTTAGCAGCTAATGACACAGATATTTACCAGGTGCAGTTGGTGGAGAGCTAAAATGAGAGTGAATATTGGACTTATTGGAAGTTTGCCATAAAAACTTTATACAGTAATAATATGTTGTGGTCACAGCTTGTTTCCACCACCTCCAAGTTCACAAAAATGTTTTAAGGATGTAGGAGTTTAAAGCTAAATTTATACAAGAAAAATGGAACCTTTAGAGTTAGAGGAAAAAAGGAAATGCCATCACAGGTTTTCAACAACCTGTTCATGTTCTTGATTAGCTTCTCTCCCTCTTGTTCCATTACGAACGATTATGAATGAATGGATATGCATTATTCAAGTGTCATACACCTAAAGGTACCCAGCCCACATACAAGACGATAAGACGACCTTGAGAGGCAAGAGAAAACAAAAAGAAAGCAAACCAATAAACTGTGCTTTGTCAAGTACGTAACATCAGATAAAATATATTGTAATGAACGTACAGCACTCTTATACGTTAATACATAAAAACTGAGCTGTGTCAAAATGTCAAACATCATGACAAAAAGGACAGTAGAATACAAAATGCGTATTATTCACACAGGTGACACTCTCCATCCTCCTCTGAGACTGAAAGGAAGCGTGCGGTTTTCACAGTCAGAGGCTGAATGCAAGGTCTTTACTGAGCACAAATAGACCTCTGAGCTGTGCTCACGTTAAGGGTGAT